AAAAAAAAAAAAAAAAAACATTGAAGCTCAGGCGCTTCTTCAGCCTGTGACAGACCGCGTACATTTAGCGCTTAAAACATGCAACCTTATTCCCTGAATTGCAAGTTCTTTAACTGAGAGCCCACTGTGCCCTTCCTAAAGGCACACCCGCACGAATGACCTACAGTTTTGAGAAACCTCCCGAGCCATCTAATATCAAAAACATCTGGATGAAACCTGGACATGAACTGCAACAACAGCCAAATCTCAGAAACCCTCAACGCAAACATATCCAAATGGCACAGCCTTGGGCAATGACCTCTGAACCCTGAAGCCTACACCTCATGACCTATGAACCAGAAGTTGTTGGACCCAGTGGCCACCACCACTTCCTTCTCGGCTTCCTGCTTCGGAAGGTTCAATACCTGAAAAGTCTGACATGGAGGCTTCTCCAATTTCAGTACCCTGCTGACCTATAGATATACGGGTTATACAACGCTTATAAGGATCTTCCCCTACGATCATGTGGGTCTAGGCATGACAGCGCTTTACGGTTCCGGCGATTTAGGCTTTAGCTTAGTGTCTCTGAAAGGTGTACACTTCGACAGCACTCCAAGCTTTCTAGTTGTTAGGCGGGAATACGGGAATAAACTCGCTACATAATCCCAATATAAGATATTCCGCTATTCCCTACTGACCACCAGAAAACATGTTTGCAGGCGTCTGCTTTTAGTTGAAAATGCTGGCAGGGCCTCCTGCTTCAGGTTAAAAGCAAGCTCGTGCTCATGGAAGAGTACCATGCAAAACTATCGCAAAGCCTTGTACCAGGGCTCTACAGCTGCTGTTCTTTAAGGGCTTCATGGTTGCAACTTAAGGAACCAGGCTAACCCCAAACTATGTAAAGCTTCAGCGAGGAGCTAGGGCTTCAGGCGCACAGGCGCAGTGTGCCACACAAAAAGAAACTTCAATGGGTGACTACCCCAAGAAAAGCCAGTGTTCGTGCTGCTCTGACACCCCTATGGCTCCAGTTTCCCAAAGAGTGGAGTACCGGCAGCTTTGTCTCTGAATTCAAACATGTATGCAGGAAATTCCGAAACACGCAGAGCGAGGGGCCCGCTGTTTGGATGACTGGGGCTTTGGGGCAACTATGAACGGGCTCCCGTTTAAGGTTAAACTAGAATGGAACTGCTGAATCCTAAAAATGAAGAGACGCATTGGAAAACCCAGCCACACAATGCACCTTTAGCCTGTACCCATACAAGCCGAAGCTCCACGCGTAGGTCGCGCTCCAGGGGTATTGGCCTCACACAAACAGACTTGCAGGCCAGCATCTGACGTTCAACCACTATTTGGGTTTTTCTGCTTCAGGTGCGCTTGGGGGATTGTGAGCCGGCTCATGCTGGAAAACCCCTGGTTGCGGAAAGGTCCTGAGATCGGGCCTAGAAAATGGCCAGGCGTTCTCTACAGAATTTCTCTATATGAGGTTTGCCTCACTGCTCAGAGATCCTAAGGTTGGTCAAGGCCCCAGAACATTACCTAGGCCAAACTGGTAAAACACAATCCCTGTACAAGATGAGTCAGGATATGACGCTGTTCCAGTTCCCTTGCATCTTGTACATCCTTGGGCTTTGAAAGTATTACTGAGACCTGCACAACCTTTATTTAGCTAGCACATACCATCATCATAAGCAACTATTATCAACAGTTGTCCTGGCTTCACCTAGTTTGTCAATCCGGAACCCCGCGCTCCGCACCCGATAAACTTGTGTGCCTCGGTAGCGCCTCCGGCACCGCCGCGGCCGCGGCCAGAAACTCGGCATAGGCGCCGTCCGGGGCGGGCATCCAACCGGGGGCCGCCTTGATGTGGCTATAGGCTATAGGGTTTGGGTAGTTATAGGGTTTTGGATTAACCATATTGGATCGAAATGAGGCAAAGTATATATGGTAGCGTCAAGGTCCCAAGTAGGTGTTGCTTGTAAACTTGGATCCCTAGGGTATGCAAGGTTTTTGGAGTCAGTCAGCAGTTGGCCCGGCACCTGCATGGTCCGGTGCTCCATGCATTTGCTATCCCCCAACCGTCCCAAGAACAATATGCCAGCTTTTCATGTTTCATTCGCAGTCTAAGTCTGCGTGAATTTTGGTACCGAACGCCCCAGCAAGCCAAACGTATACGAATCATGTCGAGATATCTAGGGATCACATAGTGGGGATGTAGGGGAATGCACAAGAAAGCGGAAACTACGACTTAGTGTTTAGATACTTCATTTCGGTTCTGAACGTCGAGCTAAGCAAACATTCGCACATGCGCTTATGCAACCTGGTGCTCTCCTCTTTTGATGTTGGAGCCTTTGCATCAACGGCGGCGATGGTTAAACCACCAGCCTGCCCTAAACCCTAATCCCTAAACCAATCCCTAAACCCTCATCCCTAAACCCTAAACCATAAAACATACACCGCATTTTGGTGGATGGAGGCCTGTGACAGCCCACTTCCTGAGCGAGGACAGGAGGTCCTTGCAACTAGGAAGCACCTCTACAACCAAAAACCCGAGAATCAAAGGCCCCAAAACCTGAAAACCCAAATAAGAAATCTAGAGCCACTATGTTGGAAGCTTCTACAGTGCACTTGAAATCTTTGAGCACTGGGCACCGGCCCAAAACCCTAGACGCTGAACGCCCAACCAAACCTTACACTGCGAACCGCAAAACCTGAAGCCTAAACCCTAAACCCCAATCAACGAAGCCTAAACCCTAATTCCTAAACCCCAAACCCCGAAGCCTAAACCCTAATACACCCCAAACCCTGAAGCCTGAACCCAGAGCCCTAAAAGCTGAATCCGACCCGACACCCAAGCTCTGCAGCCTAACCCCCCTTAACACCACCTGGTCCTCCCAAATACCCATAATACCACCTAAAATCCCCATGGCCCTGGGGCTTTGAGTCTGTAACTAATACCTACATTGGGCCCCAAGGTCTGTATATAGTACCTACATGGAGGCTTCAGGTGATGTGGAGTTAAAAACCCATTTTAAGGGTATTGGGTAGGTCCAGGTGAACCCGAACCCCTAAATCCCAAGCACCGCGCCTGCGCATCTGGCGCATCCACTTCTGGGGCCGGTCGCCGTGGTCCGGTTCCAGACCAGCCCAGCGGGTGATGCGCGCTGTCGCCTCGAGCTGCGGCAAAAGGATCATGGTTTGGGCCTTAGGAGGAGTAATACCGGGATACATAAGGGTATTTAAGGCAATAAAATGTTACATAGATATGTGTATATATGTAGGTGATAGAGAGAAAGAGAGAGAGCGAGAGAGAGAGACTAAAACAAGAGCATGGGGTATGATGTATTCCCTTATTCTTACTCCCTACTAACCCCAAGTAAGAATGGTTGTTACTTTTAGGAGTACCTGCACCATCCTGGTACTGTTGCTGCTACGGTCATGATGACCTTTCGTCATAACCCTACAGCTCCAAATAGCCCAATGTAGATAATGTGTACAGACTTTTTGCCCAATATAGGTTTTACTCTATAGATATGGAGCCCCAGGGTATGATGGTACGAAATTTGTTTCGCTTTGAGTACTGCCTCCCAGCCGGTAACAGTCTATATGAAGGATCATATGAAGGGTACTATATGAGCAACTGTCTAAACTCCGAGTATCCCCCTTACTTACCCCTATAGTAGTCCCCTATATAATCACCTATAAAACCCCATTTACGGAGTGTAGATGATGGCTCATATAACTATATTTTAAATATTTTCCAACTGTTACAGAATGGGGCACTACCCAAGCTTTGCTTTTCTAGGGCTTAAGAAGCTCAAACTCCAAGCAGCAACCTTGGGAACCCCAAACCTTAAGCTTTCTGATTTTTAGTAGGGCAGGAGGGAGTATATCCTATGCAATTACATAGGGGGTAAATTCCCTTATTCCCTACTAAGAACCCATAAGACAACTGCTGGAAGATGGTTTGAGGGCACATCATGCGTGAATCCGGTCGCTTCCTACTACAGGCTATCATGCTAAGCCATGCTTGTCACAGATTCGCAGCCCAGGACAAATCAGCAACCTTAAAGCTCAGCCAGGAAGCTAAAAACCCAGGGGCCCAAACCCTAAAACCTAAACCCGAAAACCCAAACCCAAACAAGATCACAAAGCTTGCCTGCTGCCCCCAGCATTCTGTTAATCTGTCGTGAAGCCAGCCAACAATTCAAAAGCCTGTGTTGCTTGGGTACTGCCCCCACCCTGTAACAGTCTGTATTATTAGGGGTCATATTAAGGGCTATACACAACTATAACCGAAATATTATCCAACTGTTACAGAGTGGGGCCGGGAGGGGGCAGTACCCACTGTGCTGTCCAGCAGCTCCCTTTCAAACCCAAAATAGCTTTTCGAGTGATGCGAAGATGAAGCACGGATGGGCACCCAAAGCCCTCCGACACAATAACCGGACTCCCTAGACCCTATAAACCCTAAACCCTAAAACCTGAACCCTAAACCGAGCAACCGAAGCCGGGGTTCATCATCGTGGGGTTCACGCCCATGTGCTTGCGGCCCTTTGGCAGGGCCTCATCCCCGCTGTCGCTCTCGTCGCCTGCCTTCTGGCTGCTCTTAATTACGGCTGCCTGGTGGCACAGGTACATTTTGACTTGTCAGCCGGACAAAGAGCAGTACTACGGGTGATACCAGAATCCGGGATGACCCGAAGTGAGTATGGTAGTGAAAGATCATGCAGGAGCTTTAGTATTGATTTACGGTATGCCCAACTCGGAAGAAGTATGAAAGCAAATCTGGGGCGTTATCCGTGCGTTACGTGCGCTATCTGGGCGGGGACTGAAGAGAAGAACGATACTTCACTCCTTCAACATCCAGTTACCGGCTTCGTCCGCAGGCCGGACAGTTTGCCACTAGATAACACGGGAGCCTTGAAAGGCAACCTGTGTCGACTGGCAAGATCACAGAACACCACGTGTGGGGCCGAAGTAAGCGGAACCAGGCATTGGAGAATATCAGTCTATGGGCATGTGCATACATAGATTGTGAGGGAATAACAGTGGTCGTTATTCAAGCCTCAAGACTGCTCCACTATAGCTCACGCTCCAGACATCCTCCTCCAGCCCTGCTACCATCTCTTGCCGAACCGCGATTTTGCATAGGGTTGAGGAGTTGGAGCTTTAGGGGTCAGGGTTACATCGGCAAACTCTCAACTCCAAATGAACCAAATGGGGCTTCAACCCCGAAGCTCAAACATGAGGCAACTCGTTCCGTGTCTAGGTAATGTACCCAGAGGGTCCATGTACCCAATAATTGGGTACTTGGGGTTTGGGTAATAGTAATTATAGTACAGGTTTTGGGCAAGTATATGATTATTAGGTACTTGGAGCCTTAGGGGTACCAGCCTGAATAATTGCCAGGGGTATTCAGATATAGCCCTCGCATAGCTGACGTCTTACATATCCCAGAACCCCATCTGAATTAAACGGCCATCACATACAACCGCTAGAGCCCCGTGTGAAACCACCTTCTTTTCTATTTCGTTTTCCTAAACCCTACATACTGTAGCAGTGTCCATTCGTGTTGTTGTTTCCTTTTCTCTTCATCTTCCACTAGTTGAGTTATTTGGGCTCCAACCCTACACCCTAGAACCTACCTTACCTCCATGACCCTTTAAGGGGACACCTCTAAACCTGCTATTGCAGCCACTGAAGCCCCTTCAGTAAGCATTGGGCTGATTGCCAACCATCAGCTCTCGAGTTTAAAGTGACGTCTAAACAAGATTTGTTAAAAGAGTCAACCCTAAACCCTAGGGTTTAGGGTTTAGGGCTCAAAGTCTCATTCATAGACCAATCTGGTGTCGTATGCCATGGCACATCCTGCGAAGCCCGATTAGGCCGACGTCTGTTGGGCGCCATGGCACAAAGAATCCGCAGTTTGAGGTCGACCTTAAGGGTCCTAAGTACCTAAATAATTAGTAGAGAGATTGGACTCAAAGCGCCGGTATAGGAACCCACCTAACCTAGTCTATTACACTATCGAGGTACACGTCACTTCGACCTTGACGCTGTAGGGTTTAGGGTGGGACAGGGAAGGAGAGGGGAGATGGCACTCTTCTGACATCATGAAGTCGGCTGAAAGTGATCTGGGCATAGAAGTCTAAACCAAAAGCTTAAGACACCAACAAATATTGCGCAAGTCGAATGTCCGGCCAATTGCCCGGGAGTCTTTTTGCTTGTCATCATTGAAGGTTGAGAGCGTCCCTTGCAGATTAACTATTGGTGTCCAGCATTTGTGCGGTTAAAGTGAGGCAATCGTTCTCAAAGGACGCGGAAGCGCTCGCAAGTCGGGCTTTCGAGTCATTGGCATGGTGGTCAAACATGTTTTCTTTAAGGGTCCAAGTAACTACATAAGATACATAAGAGGGCTGTGGGTACAAAAAACCTTTCAGATTATACATAGCAATTCCTAAAGGCGCTGAATATTGCCAACGCTGGGCTATTTGGTTCTCTGTAGGGTCTCCTAAGAAGGAACCCAACTTTCTATACCCTAAACCATGTGGGACAGGAAGTCTATCGGGCAATTTGGGTTTAGGGTTCAGCGTGCTTTAGGTTTTAGGGCTTAGGGTTGGGGCTTAGGGTTTGGGAGGGTTCAGGATTTTGGGGTTTCGCGAACCCTGTGAGCAGATACAGCAGCGGAGAGGATCTCAGGTTTGCAGCCACCCCGGCGATCCATGCGGTTTAGGGTTTGCAGTTTTAAGGTTTTAGGGTTCGGGCATCAGGGTTTTAGGATTGACGGTTTAGGGTCTGAGGTATTAGGGTATAGGGTGTCAGGGCTTAAGGGTTGAGGATTTTAGGGTTTTAGGGAC